TCTTTTTACAAGTAAGATGAGAAATAGCGATTGACTATTTTAAAAAAATAATTAGAATAATAATAATAATGATTGGGGAAAACATAGAAAAGATATTGAATGTTGAAGCGGGGAGATTAATGTCTCTGTATTGACTGACATGCATGGCATTCCCTTTTGAAAAAGCAATGTAATACACTGTAAAGTTATATGTAATCCAATATAATATAAAGAAAATTATGATGATAATAAAAAAAAAAGAAAGAAAACACCATCAACAGATAATGGTCACATCACAATCCTCTTTCATGTCATGCTTTTTTCAGGATTTGGGGCATGCATGCACACCTGCCTGATGTGTTTCTCAAGCCACTGAATCTGGGACTCAATCTACACAGTCAACCATGTGAGATCTGGTTGCCTAAATCACTAGGCCATGGAGCCAGTCCCAAAATTTCAATAAATATCTTTTGGGAGGGCAAGCAGGTGGCATGATGGTTAAGGCACTGGATTCCCATATGGCTGATCATGGTTTGAGTAACATAACATATGGCTTGCTTTCTCATTTCCCTTTCTCTCTCTCTGTCTTTCTCTGGTGAATAAAATAATAATAATAATAAATTAAATTAAATAAATAATTATCTTTAAAAATAGCTTTTTGGTACAGAAAAGTATTACAAGATGATCAATAAAAACTTGCACATAAACCACATTACATTAAGTTAGAATTCTGCGGAGGAAATGGAATAGAAATATGTATTAAAGAATATACAAGAACAAAAAAGGAGGTATAGTATATAAGAAACCTCTGTATCTTCTGCTTAATTTTGTTGTGAAACTGAACTTCAAAAAATAAAGTCAGTGTAAAGAAAAGGGGGGGAATACTATAAAATTTTCAGCTATTACGGATATACTATCCACCATTTGATACTCACCATCACTATTCATTCTATATTCATTGACTCTGCTTTAAAAAGTGGTAAAGTAATTATACTTTAAGGTGTGAGTATTTTCAGCATGCTCAAAAATTATATTCTTTTCAACTGTTTACACTTAAGATAAAGATACTAGATGTCACACTAAAAATGTGCAGAAAGGCACAATTTATCAGAAAATTTTATAGTGTGTAGAAGAAGAAAATCTGAAGACCAGTACCCAAAAAATATGGCATACACCTTTCTATCTTCAGTCTCTTCCCACACCATTATTTCAGCCCCTCAAGGCCCATCCCAATTTACTCACCCTTTAAAATCCAAATGAAATCTCACATATTCTAAAATCTTTTTTGCAACTCTCCCATGGTGATGCCTTCCTCTTAGAAGACTTGACTTTTATAGCATCTATGTGTACTACTCAATCAGCAAAGGTATATTTTACCTTAGACTATTTTTCTAAATCAATGATTATATGTCCAACTTTCTAATATGAACTCAGATTTCATGAGAGCAGAGACTGTATATTAGCTGCCTTAAAATCACTCTCAGTTCATTACAAATACTACTCAGCAATATAGATCCAATATTAACCTAAGAGTTAATCAACATTATAAACAAAGTTTAACATTGTTCATTGAAAATAAAGAGGCACAGGGTCTCTGTCAATACAGATATGCAGAGGGAGAGACTTTACTATCAAATGAAGAAGATGTAGTTGAGATCTTGTTTAAGAAGAAAACACAGGGGCTGGCCCCAAACCACAGTAGTTAAGGGAGTAAGATCCCATATGGCCAAACGCAGTTTGAATCCTGACCCTGGTGGCTTGAAAAATATGCTGGACACATGTGTATATGTGCCCAAATCTTAACAGGAGATAACTACGGAGGAATAAGGATTGCAGAGTAACTATGCTCCATTGGGGGATTCTCTCTCTCTCTCTCTCTCTCTCTCTCCCCCCCCCATGTCTCTGGCAAGTGCACATGCCCTCTGGCAATAAATAAAAAATGTCAAATTCTTTTTCTAAAAATATAGGCAAATAGATCATTTGTCTCCAACACTGTATGCCCTTGAGGTGGAGTGGTTTACATTCTATTGTTTGTGATACAAAAATAAGTGTATTTGTGCCCCACTTAACAATGGGAATACATTCTAATAAATACATTACTTAGCAATTCTATTGCTGTGGAATACCACTGAGTGTCCTTACACAATCCTAGATGGTACAGCCTACTTCACACCTAGGTTATGTGGTATAGTCTCCACACTCCTCAAGGGATCGCCATTTCATGTAGTCTATCTTTGACTGGAATGTTGCCTGGAGTGCACCACTATATTTATTGCTCACAACACTGGACTTCACTGGCAGCTCTGCCTCAACCAGCAGTGGCTGGTATAGCTCTTCTTCTCACTGAGGTTTGCAAATAGGCTGGGATGACTGGGGCAACGAGGCTGCAGGGGAAAAACTACCCAAAAGAAACCTTTTAAATGCAATAGCGCAAATACCAGAAAATGAAGAGAAGCACATGTGGCCCTTTCATGCCCAGGCTCTGAACTGGCCCACTGTCACTCTCAGCTATGTAGCACTGGACACAGCAATCATATGGCAAAACACAAAGCCAGTAGGAGTAGGTGGGGTAGTGCACTTTATACACAGGAATGGGTAAAGACTTGGCGCCCAGATTTTAATCTACCATGAGGCATTAGATGTTTAAGAAACTAAGCCAGAAATACAGTATCTCTCTTTTTTTTCTCGTATTCAAGTTACCAGGCCCTGTATTAGAACTTGAGGGCTATAGCACTTTTCATGAAAGATATTTTTGGTAGGACAGGCAGTGACTAGATGTTTAATTTTTTTTCTTCACATCAAATTTGAGAAAGATATTCATATGAAGTCAAGCGCCATGTTCATTTTCTTTATAAATTCTAAAGTTGTTAAAAATACGTTATTGCGATCAGCAGATGGCATAATGGTTACATTGCTTGACTCCCACATAGTCTACCACAGGTCAAGTCCAGTGCCTGGTGGCTTAAACTCACACCAGGCATGTGCATGTGCAGGCCAAAATCCTGAGAGAAGAATTGAGGAGAAGGGATTGCAGCACGGCCATTCCCCCTAGAGGATGCTTTCATGTTTTTGGTCTCTCTGTCTCTCTGACAAGCACACACACCCTGGAACAAAAATCTCTCTTAAAAAAAAAGTGTTATTGGGACCAGCAGTTAGTATAATGGCTATGTCTCTGGACTCACACGTAGTCGACTGTAGTTCAATCCCGGACCCAGTGGCTTGAACTCACGCCGGGCGTGTGTGTGTGCGTGCCCAAGATCTCAGAGGAGAATGAAGGAGAAGGGATTGTGGCGTGGCCATCCCCCCGGGGGGTAATTTCTCGCTTTCTATCTCTCTGTCTCTCTCTGTCTGTCTGGCGAGCGCACGCGCCCTATAGCAAAAAACCTCTCAAAAAAAAAAAAAGTGTTATTTATGGGACCAATGGATGGTATAATGGTTACATCACTGGACTTCCACATGGCCGACCACAGTTCAGGTCCTGGATCTGGTGACTTGAAACTCATGCCAGTGTTTGCGCGTGCATGTTCAAAATTCCAAGAGGAGAATGGAGGAGAAGGTATTGCAGTGTGACCATCCTCCCTGAGGGACAATTTCTAGCTTTCTGTTTCTCTGTCTCTCTCTGTCTCTCTGGCAAGCATACATACCCTATAGTAAAAAAAAAAAAAAAAAAAATCTGGCTTAAAAAATGTATTATTTATATGACAATGTTGTTTTTCACTAACCTGCTGGGAATAGGATACTTGTCCAATTGTTTTTCTTGCATTTGCAATAAGTTACAGTAAACCATCCACACGCTTTGACAAATTACTGTTGAAACCAACATCCGGACTTATAAACTAGCCCATTGGAGTTAAGAATGTAGTTTAGAGCAATGCAAGAATTCCTGCCTTTGTGCCAAACAAAGTAAATTACAGGCTTGAGGATAGAACCTCCAACTTTATCCTCCTTGGCTTGGAGCTACTTTTTCCAAATACAGCTTAAATAGCATGACTATGTTCCACCAATTAACAAAGGTGTACTTCACACAGAGCTGTTTCTTATTCATGTTGCTTATAAGTTTACAAATAAAACTTATGTTTTTAAAAAAGTTTTTTTTTCTTTATTCATGATAGAAAACTTGCATGTACATGAGAATAAGATAGAAAGAAATAAAAACACCTTGCATCGAGTCTAGTCACCATAAGATCCTCAGCTCATCAGATCTTGGGCACACATGTGGGTGCCCAGCATGTTTCAGGCAGACCTGGCTGAGGATTCAAACCATGGTCACCACGTGGCATCGAATATCTCTTGAGTAGCACATTACCACTGCATCGCTGAGCCACTCTTCAAACCTAATCTCTTTAAAGCTAAATGAGATTTCACTTTATGTATTAAAGTTTGCCGAATAAAAATATTTTGCTGAGGGGAGAAGTAAAACTTTTGAGAGTGCCTTCCTGGGGTTGCTAAAATTTTTGTGTTCATCTTGGAAAGTATAATAGGAATCATAGAAGCCTACGGGGGGTGAGGTTCTTGACAAGCAATGAGACAGCTGGAGGAAAAGACTTAAGTTTAAAGAGAATGGGGAAAAAAGAAAGAGTCCCGATGTTGATTCATAGATGAAAAATTACATGCATATGTTACATTGCCCCCATGAGATGCTCTGTTCTCTAGTAATTTAAATAGGTGATATTACAGCACCAATTCCTGGTTCACTTAGGGAGGTTAAGTAAGAGTTATAGCAGTGCAGTCAAGACTTCAGGAGCCAGATAGTCCCATGTGCCCCACTTACTGCAATTTTTTCATTGCACTCTGAACAGTGCCCTAGTTGCCTACGAGAGTTTTTAAGGCCCTCCTCAGGTATTTTTCCTGCCAGACACTGAGCCGATGTGAACAGGCTCTTGCTTCTGTTCCTGATTATACTGTACCCTATTGAGTGACGATGACATGAACTAAAGCTGTCTTACTTTCCCGGTTGCAGAGGGCTGCCTTGCATTAGCTCATGGTTTTTCCACACCTGATACAACTCTGTTCATTCTCAGGATCAACATTTTAGGAATGGATCCCTTAAGCACACCTTTTGACAATGAGTTCTACAATGGACTCTGTGACCGGGTTCGGGATGGGAACACTTTGACATACTACCGAAGACCCTGGAACGTGGCTTCCTTGGCCTATGAAGTAAGTATCCTCAGAAGAAAATACATTGTTCAACTTTTGGATGAAAAGTTGCTTCAGTGAGTTTAATACTGAATCAAGTGTGATAGTGCATGCCTGTAGGCCCAGCTCCTGGGGAATCTGAGGCATGAGGATTGTGTTTGAGGCCAGAACACAGTGAGCCCTTGTCTCCAAAAACTAGTAAGTTCGATACTAAATAATGTGAAAAACTCAGTAGAATAAAAAATTAGTATGAACTTAAAACTAACTTAAAGAGGGATAAATCAGGCCAGCCAGGGGTGGTGGTGGTGAAGGCAGCTGGATCTCATAGGGCCAAGTGCACAATTCGAGTACCAGATTGGGCAACTTGGAAAATGCACTGGACATGTGTGCATGCATGCCCAATATCCCAGAAAAGCATAGAGGAGAAGAGATGCAGTGTGGCTGTCCCTCTTGGGGGATGATTTCTCACTTTCTCTCTCTCTCTCTCTCTCTCTCTCTCTCCCTCTCTCTCTCTTTCGCTAGCACACATACCTATAACAAAAACTAAAAAAAAGGAGGGGGGAAGAAATCTAGTTTGAATCTCTTTAGAAAATACACATCGGTTTATTATCAATCCTCAGTCATATTCACCCAGTAATAAAGATTGGGCAGATACCAGGACTCTGTAGAAAGAATGATCGATGGCTTTCAGATACTAAATTAGAGTAGTGCTGATTTAAGTAGTGATTACTGCTTCTATGAAACTTAAGTTCCTTTCCC